AGAACAACTTTACATTTTACCTGTAGGTACGTTCCTCAAGAGGAGAAAGTGCGTGCAACGTGCATAAGTTTTCACGCGCGTACAACTGTAACATTTGCGATGTAGGTAATTTACCCCGAGGGCTGTCGACCGGTAGAAAGTATATTCATAGCTAATTAAAACGAATTTATTTCAATTGTAGCTAAACAGCAAAATTTAGGTTGGACATTCAGACACCAAACGGATTCTGAAGGTTTGGCATGATGATTAAAGCAAACCGTAGCAGAGGACCTCAATTGCCTTACGTAGTTTAATTAATTGAAATCTCTTAGGCAACAATCCTTTGTCGTTACTTCCATAATTTATATTGTTTACCCACGGCTTTGTCGTAGGTACCTACCTAATCTGTCGCCTGTTTCTGAAGGCGAGTGGGTCCCATATTAAATGTAAATAAAAGCTGATTTGCTAATCGCAAAATATTTATTATTTATGAGTCTACGGCAAGTTTAAAACGGGAAATGTTGCTAAAGTTAAATGTATTTCGAAATAACTAACAAAAAGTGCAATATTTCCGGCATCTCGAAATTACGAGGTCGACCATTTTAACGCTGATGAAAACAACTATTGCACCCAATAGTTCTTTGTAGACTATGCTAATAAGGGTAGGTACAGACACCCTAATCACATGTTTTAAGCGTAGTTTGCACGCTACGATCATCTGGTGTTTACAATATGCGATATGTTTGCTTTTACTAGAAGCATTTCAAAGAAATATCTCAATAACTAAAAGAGTTGACATTGCGAAGTCTGCGCATGCGCACATTGATCCACAAGATGTGGGAATCTGTAACTAAATTCACTTTCACGTAAAGTGTAGATTCAATTTTTTTGGTACATGATTAATGCGGGGGAGGGGGTCTTTTGTGTAAATATTTAAATGTCGCCTGGCACAGATTCACAATATACAGTATTTAATGCAGGAATAAACAATCTCTTAAGAACATTATCCGAAATACTGCATTTTCCTTCCGTACTCTCCTGGGACACTCCGCTATCGAGATATTCGCACAGTTTGGACCCCACCAGTAGATATGTCTCGCCCATATAACCGATCTCGATAAAAGGTCGAGGAGAAGGCTGATGATTGATAGATATTAATTGTCTCCGTTAAGATCTTTCATTAGATTAGGTAGGTGTTAGAAATCAATTCCATTCGACGACACCTTCCACTAGAAGACTCTGAAGTGTAAAACTGGTGGTCTCCCCCCTCCCCCAATTTCAAAAGTTCCACTTGGAACCACTAGAGGTATGCATATGCAAATTTTGTGCGCCATATTCTTTATTTTTATTATTATTCTTGATCCGATACTCTTTAACTCCTCTGTGAATGCGCAGTAACCAGCGCCACGTTTACAAGAATTTTCGTACATACAAAAATTGTTTAGACTGCCAAAATGAAGCCGCATAGAGAGTTTCTGAAGAGTGATAATCAAGTTTCAAAAAGGTCAACGTCTCGCGGACTAAACGTGAATTGCTTCGATCATTCTGATTCTACGTACTTTACTTTTTGTCACTACAAAGAATATATTTTCCGACACGTCGATTTTGTATACGTTACTTTTGTTGTTTCGAAGATTCATTCGTACTAGCTCATCCACGTTTCATATCCTTCATTTTACCGATATTTGGTTAATTGAGTTTGAATTGTAAATTGAGTTATTTAAAGTTGCCATTATTTTATCATTGTCCGTTTGTAAACCACAGCTCGTTGTCAAGTCAAAATGTTACTTTTGTTTAGTTAATGTAAATTGAATAATTGACGCTTATTAATGTTAATTACAGTTTGTAGTATTCGAGTACCCGAGTGTCGAACGTTAGACATGGCTATATCGCAAAATTTATGTGCCGCGCGTTTCACTATCCCTCTTGTTCTTTGGTTTGCATTTTTATCTGTTACAGATAAGGCAGAATAGCGCCCTTCTGAATTCAGACGGCCGTTACGACCAAAGTTCGCAGGTAATATTTCTATTTTCGACGATCCCTTGATATAACGTTTGAGCACATTGGCTTTCAAGTTGTAAAGAGTATATTTCTTTGATAGTCTTTTCAGTTTCATTTATCTCTTATTTCCCTGACTACGAGTTGATCTTTTAGGTAAATCTTTTGAGTTTAATTTAGTTATCGGGTAGCAACGATATATTTTGTAACCTTTTGGAACCGTTTATCTTTCGATTAATTACTCTCGATTACCACCATAATTATTGTTTACGTTCCACCTCTTCAAGTGTGTTGTTTCTTTAGCTTAACAAGACTAGTACAAGGATCTCCCAGTCTGCCTTGTTTCCCCTTTCGATAAGTATTCTCTCTTTTCTTTTTGCATTTACTATAAGACTAAGTGACGCCTCTCCTGTTTAATACACCACCTTTTGCTTCGTTTACCCAGTGTACGAGATCCCCATTACCCATTCCGGCCCATCTCTACTTTGCCTGAGCTTACCGTGTGCTTATCTAAAGGTTATTTTGTTCCGTTTGCTCAAAGTGAACATAACAAACTATTAAACGTTTCTGCCAACAGTGCAAAGGCACCTTTCTTTCAAATCCCACGGTTGCGCGTCATTATACAAAGGGACATTCCTTTTTTTGTTAATGTTGGATATGCGCCGGAGTAACTGTAAACAATAAAAAAAATACGACACCGGAACATTCAACTGATTTGTCCTCGACCGAATACGGTAAAAATTTTGCGCTACGACAATTCGCCTCCCCAACTACGCAAGTATTTTCTCGTCTCTTTCTGATGTGACCCCTGGTTCACACTACCGTGACTCAGTACCTACCGAAACTATCAAAGAACAGATTTACTTTCGGACCTCATACGCTTGCTCTAGTTCTCGAAAAAATAATTATAGTTTGAACTGCACGGGTGATCGCGTTGTTAGCCCAAAACCGAATGAATTTCAAAACTCTTTCCCTAGTGATCCCTACATTTTGTTTTTGGCTTCTTATTAACGAAAACTGATTCGTTTCTTTCGCTCCTGTCACGAATTAGATGAGCTATTATGATAATTCAACATCCCACATATATGGTTAAATATAGCAAGTCCTACAATACAGAATTGTAGGAAATGTAACTTGGTAATGGCTTAATCGTAGTTAGAAAAACCATAGATAATCGTGTTAGATAGCGCTCTATACCACAACACGCTAGCAACGAAGATATAAAATTCTTCATGGAGAAAAGCGAATATTCAAATGTGGTTACGAGCGGTTAAAAAAATTCAGCGTTACAGTTGACAATGGAAGGTTAATTGTGAACACGCTTGTAAGTGACAATTCGCTTAATTATGTAAACATTCGAATTTTTAATTTACAACTCAAAATAAATTGACAGGTCCGTCTGATAAATTTTCGTTCACAATGACCACCTTATGACCGCCAACTATAACGCTGAATTTTTTGAATCGCTCTTTACAATTTAAAGCTGACCTTTTAATAAAACTTGCGCTGTATGTCTTTCTTTCATTCATTGCATATTGGTAAATTGAGTTTTTTTGGAAATAAACCAGCAATTAGAGAGGTATGGTCATTCAGTGTTACAATTACCACCCTACTATTGTACTTTCCAATTGAATTAATATGGTGTAACGCAAAAGTAGTGGTAGTAGGTAAGTAAACGACTATTCAAAGCTGCTTATGCATGGGGAAAGAGGGTTTAGAAACAATAACTCCTGAAATGAAAACAAATTTAAAGAAAAGTGAATGATAATATGATAAACGGTTAAACTATTACAAAAAAAATGTCTATCTACGTATATTAAAATGATAAGTGTGCACCTATAATAAACAAAATATGGAAAATTGTTATTGTGACATTCCCCAGATGTCCAATTGGCTCAAAAAACGTTTGCGTTTTATTACATAACCTACAAACTTCAAAAAAGTGTTGTATCTAGTTTGGCAATAGTGTACTACAGTAAAGACGTTCTGTACAGGGTGGTCCAAATTCGTAGCTCACCATTACGATCTCATTAGATACAGCGTATTTTAATGGGGGCAAAGGTGCCCCTTTCTGCGACTAAAAAACGCATTTGAGATGTTGGAAAAATATTTGCAAATGTCAAATGTCGTTTTCATTTCCCTACTTTAAACGGTCGAAAATGGAATGTTCCCGTTAGTATGGGCACTTTTTTTCGGAGAATCTGAATCTGTTATCAGATTTTCCCATAACAAGCTAGATGTAGAAGCTATAGGCTACTATTTTCTTATTACTTATTGGCGCCATATTGGATATTTACGGAATGAGACAGAGAACAAAATAATCACGTGCGTACTCTATAGGTACATAAATTTACAAGAAAAATTTCAAAATTAAATGTTTTACATTAATTTCTCAAACAAATTCACCAATATGGCGTCCATAAGAAGCAAGAAAGTAGTAGCCTGTATCATCTAGCGCGCGTGTATGGACATTCTGATAACAGATTACAGAATGTCCTATTTTCGCCACTTTTATCTCCGCAACTATCCAAAAAATAATATAGGCGTCATGTCCTCCTTTTGGGTCAAACTTAAAATTGTACAATTAAAATTTGGATACATTCGCTTACTTAAGAGGTACGGGGGCATTTAAAAAGAAGGGTTAAAAAGAGATACAGAAAAATGTTTATTACAAGTTTCTTCATAATGATTGTTGACTTATCTGCCGCTTTCAAAAAAGTATACGGGGTCACGTAAAAAAATTACTTGACCTCATTTTTGAAATGGTACATCCTGTATATTTTAATAAAAAAGATAAACTCCCACGACTAAAACATAATTTTAAAAGATACTGATCCTTTAGGAAGTCGAGATCAAAAATTTACAATAAAGCAAACCAGGCAAATCAAGAAATAAGAAATAATCAGGTAAGAATGGAATGGTGTATACTGTAGAAGTGTATAGTGTAGAAAATGGGACACCCTATCCCTATACGTTAAATGACAAGCAATGACCACCAACATGTAAAGCTAAACTCCACTTACATTATTAACGAGTAGTCCACAATATTCTGGAGAATCAACAGGCGCGAACAAATTAACGTCCAAAGTGACTAGTTTGCTTCCATCCCCCTGAACCATGCATGCCGGCGTCCTGAACTCCCTCGCGTGCACGGCTCCCGAAAAACTGCTATTGAAAGCTACCCGTATGCTCATGTGTCCCGTTTTGCATGTTGCCGTCACTTGCGGTAAAAAATCCGTACTCGTAAGCTGAGCGTCGCTCTGTAAGAAAATGTAAACATAAATACGTGTAAATTTTTACCCTGAAAACATAAAGATTATGCACTACGCGGATCGGCGGATTTCCGGATTTCATCATCATCCTCCTTTATGTATTCATGTTCTGTTTATTTATCCGTATTGTAGGGATAATTATGCATCTCCGAGTACAATTATTTCTAAAAAGGCGAATCCAATTTATGAGATTTATCGCATTATCTTTATTTGCTAGTAAGATTACGCCTTGGCGCACTTAGAATGAAGGAAAATGCGCGAAGGAAAGTGGCAGATGGCATGAGAACGCCAATTGTTCGCTTTAAAGACGCAATTACACATTTTTCTTCAGCTCTTTGAAGTCTCTGAGGCATGAAGAATGTTTAATGTTCCTTTCCTATTAATAAACGATGGCTTTAAGTTTAACGCTTCACGAGGATGTGCGATATAACATATAAGTTGCTATAATTTGCAACGGAATTATCTCTTGAGGTTGCAGGGTGACTTACGCGTAACCTTTACTAACGTAACGCTATTATTGCGGTCATAGTATGTAATATGAGTAACCGATGAAGATAGCTTGCGGTGGATACAAGATCTGGTATCATTATTTGCCAAAAGTTACGTATATGTTGCTCGGTTTGGCAAGTCGTTCTCAATGTCCCACTTATTTTTTCTGTAAGAGAACTACCATGAGACTACATGCTTACGTTTTAGAGAAAAACACTACCAGATTGTGAGGTTATTATGGTTATTTATTAAATGGGTTTCGCCTCTTTTTAGGGCGTATAATTTCTTACACAGTTACCTGTGTATTTCAATTAGACCGTAAATCTAAAATCTATTTCTCGAAAATTTTCATTTTCAAGACAATATATTAAGGCAATATACTATACGTCGATTTCAAAACCGTAACGCCCAGCAGATGATGCATGAGATTTAATTAGTACCTGAAAATAACAAGAATGTAATGTAATGAGGCTAGGCGGCGAATTACAATCAAATCGATCTTAAGCTCATTTTTGATTTTCAAAAGGGAGCTTATTGTTTCTATCGGCTGTTCGGGCGCCTTTTATAAATCGATCGAGATCTCGGCAACGGAATATCGTAGAACTTTCGGGTTTTCGGCAATATATTCGTACTATCGTGTTATTCCTGCATCGCTTAGTCTGAAAAATGAAAGCCTCCTGAAGTTGATAATTTATGAATTTTCTTTAAATGTGTTAAAATAAGGAAACAGAATATTTATTTATTATTTTATTTATTATCCCTCTCTTGTTTTGGGCCCTCAACAGGCTTGCGCCCAATTACAGAGTGACCCGCATGATGCTTTTTAGAGGTACCTCTGCACAAGGTCTTAAGTTGTTCTATACTACTCCGGTATTTACCTTACGAATTAGGAAAACTGCAGGAAAACCTAATTTATCATAGTGTGTTTTTTCGTTTAAGAAAAAATTTGTACGATCTTATATAATTCCCGAGTACGAAATTATTTTGTCCGATAGATATTCTCACACTACTAGGGTGTGGTGCGCGAGTGCACCATTCTGTTGAAACCAATAGTTTTCAACTTTTGTTTTTTGTACCGTAGATAGCTCAATACAGTATGTACTTGTTTTGCCAGTCATATAAAAAAATAAACTTGATGATGATTTCTCCGAAACGAAATTGAAATCTCTCAACGCTCTCTTGTCGAGCTCAAAAAGTGGCAATGAGAGTGAAGTTTTTTTAAATTTTTTTGTATCTGTTCTAATAACACCAAAAAAAGTAGTAACATCGGCAAACTTTGTTTTTCTGAAGTAATCGAAATTTTCAGGTTTCAGGTTTGTTTCAATAATCGTCGCAACTTCTGTGGTTTCACAGATCCCCATGATAAGACATCCTTATCTTGGACACAATGTATACGCTATTTTTTGTACTCAGTACTAAGTTTTTCTCCCTCCGGGAGGAAAAGTGCCACTTTAGTGCCTTAAATGAAATATAAAACACGTAGATTTAGTCTACGGAGCACAACAACTCAGTGTCCATATTGGACCGGCACAAAATTAATCTGAAGTTGCATTGGCCGCTAAAAGAAGCAAAAAAGGCACAAAAAACAGACCCAAGGTAAAATGCTACAATCGCAATGAATTTGGGCATTTTTCTAGGAACTACAAATTGTCAAAAAAATATTTGTTTCACGCGAACCGTTAAGATGCGATGCGAATAAAAATCTCGAGCAGGTTAAATAGCGAGAGCCAGACGGGTTAGGATAGCGTGAGTTGCGGTAAAAACTGACGCGAGTCGTCAACTTTGCGTTGGTTCCGTTCCGGTTTTTCAGCACGGCAACGATTATAGAGAATAATATTGGATTTCGGTTGGTGGAGAAGCATGACGGAATCGGCCGAAAGGTTGCGGGTGCAGACAGAGGTCGGTTCCGATGCAAATTTTCTACCGACAACGACAGAAAAGGGAAAAGTAAGAAAAACGACCACCCGAGCGAACAGGCTACAAAAATTAGATCACGAGAAGTGTACAAGTTAAAAGTTAGGAGAAGCGCGGCGACAGCTTGTGTAGAAATCGTTTTAAAAAATTTAAACTTCAAAAAGTTAACGGTTGTTATTGTACTAGCAAAAAACAAGCGAGTGGGTATAAATTTTCGTGTTTCTGTACAAAATTCGCGCTATTCTACGGACAAGCGAAAGAAACCAGTTCAATCGCGTATTTTAATTCGTATTGGGGGACCTGCAACTTTCATTACTCTGCTGCATGTGAGTTGTATTCGTACGTGCCCTTAGTGAGTAAAAATTAAGCGTATAGCGAAACATATGTCAAATTTTACAACATATGTCGAACTTTTGTCGGTTCCCCTAAAGAAAGAACTTCATACGCCAACAAGTGCTAACCTTGACCTAGAGGAATTTTTAGTCTGAACATTGAATAATAAATCTGAATAGAAGGTCAGTGAGATAGGAGAAAAGGTGGCCAGTATTCTTTATCTAGAATGTGCTGGTATCGTACGGCAAGTAACAAAACGTGATTAAAGGAAACTCTTCAACATTTTTTAATTCATACAATATAGCCGAGATACTCACTTCAAAATGAGTAGAGAGGTGAGAGAGAATGTTTTGACTACGGTGACATCATGCCATTGATAAACTTACGCACGTCGGTAACTGGATACCTTTGATACAACGATCGTCTAAATATAGTTTTCAGATGAATATCCGACTTAATTTTTTAACAAGTTATAAGTTCTTAATTCAATAATAATAACAGCGTTGTTGCAGAACGTAAAAAGTCAATTATTGGATACAAGATAATTAGACAACAATATGCTATGATAATATGATAAAGGGTCCGTTCACTTAGCCAAAAATGAACTAATTTTTTTTACGTATTGTGCCTCAATAATCATTTGTGCTCAATAGTGCATTTATTCGCACCGTTTGTGCCTTTTTGGTTTTGGAGATAATAGGACAAATCAAATGGGGGCAACTTAAATCGTTATTTTTTTGTTATTTGTGACATTTTCAACTAACTACATACGAAATTAGATCATTCACTATAGTAGTAGGCGAGAGACACTTTGCCCCAAGGCCCATTCTCCAAACGAGTACCTATAACTTTTGTTTGAAAAGTTATTTTAAAATTTTGTTCCTTAACTCATCCAGTATGTACACAACCAATTTCGTGGAATTCTCTCCATTTTCGTTGTCCGGCCAAGAATTGCAGTGGAACTTTTTTTTCGAATTTTCAAAAACTAATTCCAGATTCGTGATTTTTATGTTCAAAAACCGCCAGGCACCAAATTTCGTCGAAGCAGGGGTGCGCCCTTCCGTGATAGGAATTTTGAAAATTTTTTTCAAAATCGGAAAGGGCATACCCGAAAACCTAATTAAAAACGTGTCACTCATCTTTGTAACTGTTGTGTAGTGATTGTTTCAGGTACGGTGAAAATTTTTTTGCGGTTTTAGGTCACTAAGTAGGTCTATTTTAAGAATCCGCCCAAAAATGTCTGCAAAAAATACAAAAATTAAATTTTTTAAAAATATGGGCATGTAGCACATCGATTTTAGGGTTTTGAAGTTTTCTGAATTTAAATTTTTAGTTAAAAATGTTTTTGGGGGCATTTTGGAGGAGTGGGGGGTGTTTTTAAGGGGTGGGTTTTTATATTTTTTCAATATTAACGTGTCGCTGTCATACATCGATTTATATGTTTTTATGGATAAGGATCTCGAATTCCATATCAAAATGGAGGTACAGCAAGTTATTCAATGTTAAAAAAGTAGAACGACGCCGACAGACGGCCCGAAAATAACATAAAACGCGCGGTACGCCTCGCCCGCGCTGCACGACATCATTTTAATAAAAAGATAATAATTTTGACGCTATCTTGTATATCTTTCTAGGATTTATTCAAAAATCATACTTTGACATCAAAATTGTAATCTCCACCCCAAGAAACCTATAAAAAGACGTATTGCACTTGTTATAATTATTATCTTTTTATTAAAATGATGTCGTGCAGCGCGGGCGAGGCGTACCGTGCGTTTTATGTTATTTTCGGGCCGTCTGTCGGCGTCGTTCTACTTTTTTAACATTGAATAACTTGCTGTACCTCCATTTTGATATGGAATTCGGGATCCTTATCCATAAAAACATATAAATCGATGTACGACAAGTTAATATTGAAAAAATATAAAAACCAACCCCTTAAAAACACCACCCCAATCCGCCAAAACGCCCCCAAAAATATTTTTAACTAAAAATTTAAATTCAGAAGGCTTAAAAACCCTAAAATCGATGTGTTATATGCCCATATTTTTTAAAACTTTAATTTTTGTATTTTTTTGGCCGCCATCTTGAATTTCTCAAAATGCTCAAGGGTGTCAAGGTGGCATTCTCAAAGTAGACATCCTTACGAACAAAAAACCGTCAAAAAACCTTCACCGTACCTCACTTCCAGGTTAAGCCAAAAATCCCAGTTTGGCATCCAGACTATTAGGGAAGCGATTGAAGAATGAAAG